TGGACGTTTATGTCTTTTTTTCTTGAATCTGAAACATCAAATTGCCAGAAATGAGCTGGTAGGTTGTGTAATATACAGCAACATTCCAAGAGGTATTAGAGCCGGAGTTACACACAAAAAATCACTTGTGTTGCAATTAATTAACTTTCATATGTATAGCAAGGAGGCTGATGTAAAGAATTTGAAGAAGCAAAAAGGCTCTTCTCTATCACGGCTGTCAGAGTCAAGATATATAATGTTTCCATAATAAATGTTATTAAGAAATAATTTTAGAAATAGCTATAGCTCATTTTTATTACAAACGTGTACCATCAAAATAACTAATGAAGTTAAATATTTTAGAAAATCAGTTTTCACCGATTTGCAAAACTTTTAAATTTCACTAGTAATTTTACACCCTGAAACATGCACTGAAATTTTATTCAATTTATATATATTTTCTCAGTGTTTAAATGTAATAATTGCACTACAATTTTTTTGTAAATTATATGTATTTATTAAAATTATACACATCATTATACACAATTTTTGTAGTTATCCAAAAAAATCCCTGGGTCTCACACACGGCGTGAAAGCATTTCCATGATAAAATACGGCGCGAGCTTAGCCCGGTTATTTTTGCCAAAATGTACCAGGAGAGAATCGAATTAATGGGATTGGACTTAATTTTTAAGCGTTAATGTCACCTTTTAATTTAATTTTAATTTAATTTATAGAGGTTAGAGCCCCTCGAAAACTGAAGTCATTGAGGTCCATGAATCTTTTCATTACCAATGAACGGATGATAGTGATACTGAAAGTACACGGGGTGAATGATGAAGTAGAAATGGCGACATTAGTGACAGGGGAAGAAGGAGAACTTGAGTAGAGTTTGGTAAGTCCACCTCAATTGCACGTATGCGCTAAGCCATTAACAGTCATGCGAGATCAACAACAAAGTGCTTTTCGCTAACTCTACCTAAACTATTTAACGTGGATAATTTATATATGGTTGCATGCAAGGCTGGTGCATTGGGCACACTGGCAAACCACACTTCCACATAACACGACACACTCGTATACACTCGTATAACTTTTATTGGCTGACCCACTTTGTTGTCTTCGGCGTACAGAAAAAGGGGTATTTTTAGTTAGGATGACAATGCTGTCCCATATGCCACCGAAGATAGAAAGTTACCAGCTGACAATAGATGTTGTTTTGAACAATGGATGTTTTAAATTTGAATGAAATTATCCAAGGGAATCGTTTTACACATTTATCATCAATGGTTTCTTTTGCTAAGCTACACATCCTTCATGGTAGAGAGTAATGATTACGATTTATTTCTTATCGCATTCATGAAGACTTACTCTAAAACTGAAAATTATTTTCACTCATCTAACTGCATAAAAGGGAATAATATCGAGAATAATTTCTTAAGTGTAGCAACAAGAGAAATAATTGAGCATTTTAATGAAAGAACAACGCAATTTGTTTGAACGGAAACAAAACATTTATCAAGACTCTTGAGTTAATATGAAGTGTAGAAAATATTATTTGTGATTGTGTAGATGTAATGATATATTGACGAATATTATTGTAATACTATTGTATTATTGTAATGTGACGATGTTGATTTTGTGCTAAATGTTGACAGGTAAACATGATAATCCGCAAATGCTAGCCCTGCTTACAAGTTTTGTGACTTAAAGAACTTCTCTTGCTGACTGAGTCGTTCAATTTTATCTGTGTGCACCGCTGCAGATTTTGTTAAAAATGTTTGCAGGGTACTATATAAATGGTGTTCGGACTTACCCTCACTAAATTGACACAAGTTGTGGTGACCGCAACATCGTAAAATTCGACAAGCGTAGTAGAAGTTACACAATTTTTTGTACTTACACAAGCATAAGTCTTCAACGAAAATTCTAAACACATTTCGGAAAAGGTACTCACCCTCCGTCAATTACGTCTAACTGCGCTTGAAAACTTTCAAGCGTTCGTAAATTAGAAGCTTATTTGTTTCAAGTTATACGATTAACACCTCGTGTAACCTGTATCATTTTGCTGCTGTCTGTATCTGTCGCGGACCCAAACAATAATCGCTGTAGTTTGCCTTCTGTAAGGACGCAAAAGACGGAGCCCGACCAAGGCGATTTCTTAATGATTTACACCGACAAATGGTCAGGTACTTCAGCGATAAAGGCGGAGGTCGGGCACAGGTACGGCAAACGGGCAGCGATAAGCGTGAATCAAACCGACTAACACAGCTGTTGTAGCTGCGCCAGAGTAGGTACAGAGCTGCTTAACGAATGTATACACTATTTCTTAGGAGAAATAAGTTTTTCTTTGTTATTCTTAATAAAGTCTTTTCACACACTCTTGTTCGTCATTAGTCTTTCCGATATATTTCAAGAAATCCTAACAGTGCGGTCGAAAAACGCTTGCTAGAGGTACAATTTACACTAATTATGGGGTTTTGAAAGTTGTTCTTGTTCTGGTTATCTCTCTCTGAAACACACATACTTACGCATATCCACAAGCACACGCACACAAATACACACACGCATGTGTGCACAAATACACGCACACACGGATCTATACACGCACGTACACACATACACATAGGCAAAGACATACACGAACAAACGCACACGCACGCACACACACTCGCACACACGCGCACGCACACGCGCGCACACACACGCGCACAACGCGCACGTACACGCGCACACACGCGCGCGCACACACGCGCACGTACACGCGCGCGCACACGCGCACGTACACGCGCACACACGCACGCACACGCACACACACGCACACACACGCACACACACACGCACACATACTTTGAAGACTCGCAAGAGGGGGTTACGCGTGGTTTTTGTCAAGGGTGAATGCAAGTAAATTGAAAAACGTCAGAAATAAGTAGGTGAATAAGTAAATTAACGCATTAGGGGATAATTGAGAAAGGGGTGTGCAACGTAAGCGCAGAGGTTGCAGACGATTTTTTGTGACATTTCTTTTCAGGTTCTGATGATGTCGAAGCCAGTACGAAAAATTCATGATGTCCAATCCTAGCTCTAATTGGTTTTGTAACGGATTGATAGGTTAACATGTATTTATCTTCTAACTTCTCTCCTTGTCTGTCAAACGGATACTTTTGTGGGTTTATTTTTGATTTATGAGTTGTTGGGTTTCCACTACTCGCGACGTTCATGGGTTTCCACTACTCGCGACGTTCATGTGTTTCCACTACTCGCAACGTTCATGGGTTTCCACTACTCGCAACGTTCATGGGTTTCCACTACTCGCAACGTTCATAGGTTTCCACTACTCGCGACGTTCATGGGTTTCCACGACTCGCGACGGTTATGGGTTTTCACCATTTCACCACAAAATTCACGAGCTTCCATTTTACTAACGAGTTACGACGCTGCTTGGTTTCGGCTACCCTGGAATAATGGCCGCGTGTGCGCAGGACCTGGAGGTGGAGCGGCTGCGGCTGCGCGGGGAGGTGGACGAGCGGCGGCGCATCTTGGAGGAGCTGATAACGGAGGCGGCCACCGCGCACACGGCGCTGGAGCGCAGCGGCCAGATGTTCCGCCAGATGCACCGCGAGCGCCGCCAGCTGGTGGCGCAGTGGGAGATGACCGTGCGCGAGATGCACGCGCGCGACAGGGACATCCGCTCCGTGCTCGACGTGCGTAAGCCTCGCCACCTCTTGCTTCCTCCTCGCCTCTTACTTGCTTCGTCCCCGCCTCTTACTTGCTTCGTCCCCGCCTCTTACTTACTTCGTCCTCGCCACTTCTTTTTCTTCCATTCATCATCTCGGGTATTCCACTTTCATTCACTTCTCTTCCCGTACGCTTTTATTACATTGTCTCTTGTACCTTTTTTCTTCGCATGTCTCTCCAAAAGCCTTTTCTTTTTATCATTTCTTTTTTACGTCTTGAATCTGGTTTCACCTATTTCTGGTCTTCATCTTTTACTACCTTAATCGTTCTTCTCCGCCATTATTTAAAATTGTTATTATACTTCCTCGCATTTAACTTCTCATCTCTTCAATTTTTATTTACTTGATATTCGTTATTTAAATATAAAAATATTATTTAGAATAAGAAGTTAATAAATAATAGATTAAATACCATATTGTAATTTTCAATCACGCATAAAAAACGTGAATATTTTTTTCAGTTATATTATTCATTATGTTTTCTCTGTTCTGACTTTTGTCACAAACTGGAGGTCTTGTTTTGACAGTGTATTGTTTAGTAAGAGTCATGAAGCTTTGTAACAAACCCTCATACGGGATTCAGAAGAATAAGTCCGAAACGGAAAAAAACAAGCTTATAATAAAAAAAAAACCTTTTAAAATATTTTAGTTTTTCTTGTTTATTTCCAAAAAACAATATTGTTCTTAATCCACTAATTATTTAAATTAGGTATGCAGACATTATACATAATATTCTAATCAAGTTAATATATTTACAATAATTAACAAAATCTGGGCTTTTGGTAGACCAATGTCACTTTTTTGCAACAATGAAGGCATTTCTTCACTCTTGCCAGTCTTACATTTTACTTGGTATTGTGATACTGGTGAAAGAATTGCCACTGTACTACAAAAACATTAATTGTTCTGTTTTCTGTGACGAGGGACACGGGACTGACATCTTTATCCTTTATCTCTCAGAATGAACTGTTCATGACCAACTAGAGCCAAGATCTAAATATATTTCAGCGTATTCAAAAAAAATATTCAAATGGGGTAACATTTTTTTATTTGAAATTACATAGATAAGTGTATTTGAATTTCGATTTTTTTTATTTTTGCGAAAGGTAAAAAATTGAAAACAATTGTGCTTTGTGTGTGTCTTCTGGAGAGAGAGAGAGAGAGAGAGAGAGAGAGAGAGAGAGGGGGGGGCGTGTGTTTTGGATCTGCTTGTGTTGGCAAGCCTGGCTTTGTTGACCTCCGGTGCGCCGCCGTGTGCTTCCCCGCGCGCAGGAGATCGCGTCGATGCACGTGACGGAGCGGGAGCGCGAGGACGCGCTGCAGGAGCAGGTGCGCTTCTACGAGAACGAGGTGAACAACAACCAGGAGCGCGAGCTCAAGCTGACGCGCTCGGAGCGCGCCAACGCCATGCTGGCCGAGAGCAACAGCCTGCTCGACAAGTCGGTGGAGGAGCTGGCGCAGCAGGTGAGGCGATTGGCTTTGAAGTTGTTTTATTTCGATTTCATTTTTTTAGAGTGATTTTTGTGATCAAATTGAGTCCAGTTAAATTCAGTGGTGTTAGTAGATACCTTGTGGTACTTCATAAGGCGAGTTACAAAATTATTAACCCCAATAATAAAATATGTAATATTTATTAAAACATTCCAAACTTAACTTTCAGGAGACCCATTTCCACATCTTTACTGGGCATAAAACATGGACATGGAAAAATAAGAAAAAGAAATGGGACACGTGTTTTTCGAAAGTTAATTTTGGGATGTTTTAATAATAAATATTAAAAATGTTACTGTTGTGGTTGTTTTTTCCTAACTCACATTAAGTCCAGTTAATCACAGTTCAGTTTGGCAGTCCAACATAGAAAACAAGTGCTTGTGCTCTGAATATGCCAAATCAAACATCGCACGTAGCACCCCCTGACGAAGACAACTGAAAACTATTCCAGAAACAAATTAATTCCTAACATCTCAGTGAAGGAAATGAGGGGTTGTTTCGTAGACCGGCCTACGTGTAAGTGGGCACCATACACACAATCCAAAAAAACCTATTCGCAGTTAAATTCCACGGGATCACTTCGGTCAGTTCTTTATCGGAAACGCCCATTTCTTTGCGAGACTCTTTATTCTGAGTATAGTTGTTGAGGCTCTTTTAATGAATACTTTATACTTCCACTCCCTCGCATAAGGCCGAAGATCAGGAAAAAAGAGTTACTTCATTAGGGTGGAAGGTTTATGTTATTAGGATTGATAGCCGATGGACAGAAAGCGAAATAAGATACAGATGTAAGGAGGGTTGAGGGAGATATGGGATAAAACAAGTTGTTATGCGCCTATCAGCTGTTCTTGATAGTGGATGAACTTGAACCGGTATCCAAGAACGTTGAGCCGAAGACTGCGGGTTCGAGTCTCGCTTAAGGGTTGGGTGCTTATAGCATGTGGTTGAGGCGTGGTTATCGTCTCATTCAAACGCGTATCCATTTTCAATTAATATCCTATTTATAGTCATTAATTGCTTTATGAATTTCACACCTGGAAATAAACGTTTTTATCATACCAAATTAGCAAGAGACAAATTCCTACCTCCACTGTAGTTAGGAAAAGCGGAGTAGGTAGAGGTTGTCTCCCAGGAGGTCGCGAAAGAACAATTATTTTGTATGCTATTCTTTGAAGTTGGAGTATAATAATAATAATAATAATAATAATAATAATAATAATAATAATAATAATAATAATAATAGATATCATCACCAATATCGTTAAGCCCGCTGCATTGTTTGAGGCTCTATCCACAAAAAGTGCAAAGGGCTGTTAGCGAAATAAAAAGAACGTACGTTATTGTGGGGGTTTCTTTCAAATATGAACTATTTACTGTAAAACGTCAAAAAAGAACATGACAGCGATCATTACTCCCAACGCGCATTTTGTATTTTCCACAGACTTGCAAAAAATGCGTTTGAAGAAGATGCAAATTATATTTTTTCTATTGGGAGAAGATGAATGATTCATCAAGCAAATTATTATGTTCCTAGAAACATTCTTCTACATCCGCTAACACATTTTGAGATAGCGTGCTGCAAAGAGAGCAGATGGCAGTCGATAGAGATGATTACTATGGAGTTACGATTGGAGACACGTAGATAAGAAGTGTTCACTTTTGTGAAGTCAATATGGTACACCAAGTTTTTGTTCACTAATTAAATTTGTGACAATATTAAGGAAGAAAAAACATTTTGATACATCTTTGGAGTATTATGTTGTTTTACGAATCAAGATTAAGGATATTCCAAAACATTGTCGGTCTCTTATTACAGAATGCAGTGATATAACAAATGCTATTAAATTCTGCCACCAGTTTTTGAAACTATTTGCAGAATACATTTATCTATTTTACAAAGAAACCAAATTGTACTATAATACATTGAAGAACATTGGTCTTGGATATTTAATAACATATTGTTTGAAATTTCTTATCGATATAAGTGCTCGCGATAGACATTATGTGAAGAAATTAAACGAAAGGTAAAAAAGTACGATTAAAAGTAGAGTTTCCAATTATCCCTCCATGTACTCGTAAGTAAGTAGTAGGGAGTGGATACAATTGAATGATTAAGTCGTTTTCTAAGCTTAAAATTAGGGTTTTCACAGTCGAGAATAAACGTGTGATGGACAGCACTTTTCTAAATTTATATTTATACACAGAAACAGAAGAACAAATAAGAGGATCATGCAAAGAAGACATACCACGATTAAAGCCATTCTACGATTAAGTATGTTTGTATTGAAAACAGGAAGATGATTGCCATTTATATTAAGAGAGCAAAGCAAAAGTTATGGCAATAACGAAGGACACTTTTCTCTAGTTTCTTGTCAAATATGAGTAATATTTATTTTATACTATATTCCTCTCTTTGAAAACTTAAGAATGCTGGTGGAAGTACATATTTTCAATTATAAAATTCAAGTTGTGAAAGATTATCCAAAAATTGCAACCGTTACAAATAAGAAATCAAAATATGTTATTTCCTCCATTATCTTCAATATTATATACAACTTGTTGTAAACTGCATTCCGTTATCTAAAACAGTTTTGCAGATATTTTCTAAGGCCAATATATAAGAAACGAAAGTATTTGTTCATGCCGATGCCAGTTACTCGACTTCAAAGTGAAGGTTTATGGCAGAAATATAGGTATTCTTAGTGAATCCAAAAGTATATTCGTACAAAATCTACCGGCAGAGTTGGTTCAGAGATACCGGTGTGTCTGGCTTTTTGATACATAGTTTCGAAGCTTCAGAAGCTTTCGAAGCGACTTCCACTGCGGTCTGCAGGGAAATTTCAGTCGCTTGCTCTGATCGGTAGTTTTTGCGTGGTTTCCCTTCTCCACACCAGGAGAATGCCGAAGTAGTACTATAACAAATAGGCCACGAACCGCGCCATATTGCGGATATTTCTTCCTCTTCCTTATCTTATTCTCACCCTTTATTTCATGCACAACACTACGTCATATGTCGTAAGCTTAGAACCTGTTCCGGCTGGGGTGGTGGGAGATACCTGATTGTAGAAACCACGCAAGCCGAGATTAGCTTTGGATGAATGCGCCGTTGAAGGGGGAAAACCCCCACAAGCCTTTAGATCGGCGCCGGTTCACTATCCACAGGAGGAAGTACTCCCGTAATAACAAGATATACTACATTTACGGAATTGATGTCGGGAGAGATCGCTCAGGGCATCATCTGATGTCACTGCAGTCCATCTCATCGGGAGGTTCTAGGTTTGAGTCCTCACAGCGCATTTTCGACGGAGAAGTATTCTAACAAACGGAGCGCACGCGATCTCACCTTCCTCTTCGTTGTTCTATTCTCACACCTTACACAAACACTACATTGCGCACACATGGTGGAAGACCGGTCGGGAACGTAAAGCTGACCCGGCTGGGAAGGTGCTTCGGCGGTGGGAGATACCTGTTGGGGAAACCTCCGCTACCCGACGGTAGATCGGCGCCGGATCTCGCCATACAGTGAGGGAAATATCACCGCTACCTGCCAATCAAAAACATGCATTACGGGACTATTGACCCTAGTAGTTGACGTGCCCGGAATAACTAAACAATCATTTATTGATGAGTATTGCTGTTGACGCGCCCGAAAACATGAAATAATCAATCATTGAATAAATCGTACAAAATTTCCACAAAGTTACAAGCCGTTCAAGATAAGATAATAGCAATATTAGGGCCGCGTGCCCAGCGAAGAATCGTAAAAGCGGCGTGCGGGCTACAAAGAAGCGATATTAAAAAAACAATTGAATGTAGATTTTGGAGTTGGAATATAGTTTAGGAATCATCAGTAACCCAATGAAATCTGCTGTAAACAAACATTTTTAAGATAATGAACTTCGGCATGATAAAATACATTAGGAGCTATTACCATTGCTTTCGCAGTTTATTTAAATTTGGCGCCTAACTTCCAGTGACCAATTGTAAGGTCTCTGTGATGCAAATCGAGGCTTAACTCATGCATATTAAAGTATCGCGCCTTTGAGAGTGTTTTATTTTTCTTCGAAATCCGCGAGTTTAAACCAAAGAGAAAAATCACTCCGATTCCTATTTTACATTTAATACACAGTAATTTTTGAGGTCGCTTCCAAAGTGCAGAACAGTCTGGACGAGCGCATTGTAGAACGGTGAAATTTCGTTCCCTGTTCCTATGAAAACATAAAAATATATCCGCACGTCCAAACGACTTTATAATAATAATTTCGTTGTAATATTCTCAAAAACAAAAATATTTTTTTGTACCAGTATGTTTCTAAATTCTATGACCGTCCAAGCAAGTCCAAATCCCAAAATCTGCAGTTTCGGTGAATTCCGTAACAATATTTACCATAGAAGTTGTAAACGTGAACCTGTAGTTCGTCCGCGAACATATGGTTCACGGAGATATCAAAACCACCGAGTGTTACGTTTTGTGGCCACTTATGGCTCACAGGACAGTGAACGTTTGAAAGTCATTTAAAATGTCGCAGGAAGACGCCCTTTTACTTGCTTCGTTTCAACGCGAGCAGAGCAGCACTATTTCGCCCTAATGATTCCATATGGGCATTATTGAGAGTGTGCGCCTGCCACGTTCTAATGTGAACTCCTGGAATGTATACCGGCACACGCACCTTTAACATAAAAACACTAGCTGACGGGAGCCAGCTTTATTAATAAAGCACGAAAATATACTTCCCAAAGAGGAGATATCTGTTCTTGAATTATTGAGTGTTTGCAAACATTCTAACGCTTGCATGTGCTGAAAATATAATTGTTCTATTTCAGAAACCAAAATTACTGGTTAGTGTAGGAAATTGTAGTCGAAATTTCCAATTTCGTGTTTACTTTGCTCTCTGAAAACACTAATGACGAATTTGAATGCTTAACAGGTGCCATTCGCTGTATACAATGTTTCAAAATAAGTTTCACAAATTTTTAGGGCATGTAGGGAGACCCAAGATGACCACTTTTTGCAAATAAATATGGTGAGAAATTCCTTTTAACGAATTCACATATGTGATACTTGTAATTGATGGTTAGGATACTCCTCATGCACTGATGTTTGGCCAGGTACACCAGATAATATCTTGAGTTATATCGTGTGTTATAAATATAATGCACGAAGAAATGTTTTGCCGCCTAGAAATTTTGGTATAAAATATATTGTTGTAATAATAAGCGAAAAAATCCATTTAATTATATGTAGAGTTTGATTCAAAGGTTTGACACTCCCGGCATTGGAAGGCGATTTGGTCGGTAGCGGTGAAAGTTTTAATTGTTCTGTAAGTTGACTTACCGAAAGTGATCTTCTCAGTAGTTTCTTCTTCATTTAATTCAGTAATCTCTGTACGTTGACTGGTTGCACTGCGTCGTGAAGTTGGAGAATCTGCCTGCTCTCGATATTTGGACTGTTGTTCTTCAGCCTTCCGAAATTCTTGTATAAAATTCACAACTCGTTGCACCAAAGAGATGATCAAGCATGCCATAATCGCGGCGTTAATTCTTTTAAACGAAAAATTCAATTTTTCACGACCCGCTCATTCTTAAAAATTAAGAAAAATCAAAGGTTGCGCATTCCCAAAACAATGTAAAAGTGGAAATCATGGTTGTGACCAACCGTGCTCACGATCGACATGATATACAATGGTGTAAAATTATGAAAACACAATGCGACACGGAGAGCGAAGCACATCTGTTGCGTGAACGTAGCAGTTCGAATAAAGGCGGATTTGATAACTCTAATCCATTCATATATTGATTTCTACAATCCTTACACAGATAATTGCTAATAACAACCAGACTGTGCACTTTATGGTGATACCTGAAATGGAGATCAGAAGCAACAAGATAGGTGAAGGATTTTCAACCTATGTTTGTCCATGGAGGAACAGAGTATTTGTAAATTTCTTACACGATTCCTTTCGAAGACAAAGAATTGTTATAAAAGAGGAAAGAGACAATAAATAAAGACTCCAATGTTCGCACGGAGAAAGCCCAAAATGTCATTAAGTAAGTCTAACAAATTTCCATCCAATTCATGGAGAGAATGAAAGAAGATAATGCATTTTAATTGGCGTATAAAAATCACCATGTCCTCTAAAACACTATATTTACCGCGAGAATTAAGAGAATATCAGTCTCACTAACGCAGGGCCTTTGAACGGTGTCAAAATACGCGAAGCTGCTGGCTGCGTATTCGAGTCTCATGTAAGACATTTTCCTATGTGGTTGTGATTGCATATACTACTTATTTCATCTGAGCATTCTCTTACATAATGCTTCAACTAGCATTATCATCATCATCATTCACTCCTCATACCTTCACAGTCATTCTTCTATCTTCGATACAGTGAAAGTCAGAGGCAAACCACTGAAGTAATTACTTGCGTGATTACATAGTGAAAACCTTAGTTTTTTTTGCGTTGTCTACAGTGCTTAGAAATGGTCACATGGCCTCAGAACGCTGTGTCTGATACAGTAAGTGTGACATTCTTTTGTTTTAATAATTTAATGTAAACACAATGGTTTTGATTTTCTGAATGTGAAATGACTGTAAGTACGAGACTCTCAGAGCCGTTAGACATCCAGAAACTAACTTCGCACTCGAACGTAAAATTCATAATTTTTTTCGATCTTAGAAAAAACTGATTTGGGTTCGGTTGCAGCTGGTGCTGATGAAGCGCGACCTGGAGTCTGCGAGCCGGCGCCTCGACGAGGAGCGCTACCACAACATCCGCACCAACAAGCAGATCAAGGCCGACACGGCCAACGCGGAGAACACACGCGAGGCGGTGGCGGCGCTGGAGGCGCGCATCGCCAAGATCAAGGACGACTGCACGTCGGCCGCCGACCGCGTCAAGGAGATCGAGGACATGATCAAGGTCAGACCGCTTGCGCTGGGTAAGGCGGATAGGTTCTACCAAAAAAAATGGGGGGGGGCTATGAAAAGTAATAAAGCTTTGAGAACCGGCATGAGCTCCTCGGCACTGGACATGGACCAATAATCTCAGACGAAGCGCTCTAATATTCTAGATATCGTTGACCATAGCAACGACATTGACCGTAGCAACGACATTGACCGTCGCAACGACATTGACCCTAGCAACGACATTGACCCTAGCAACGACATTGACCGTGACAAATAACAAAAGTAACAATAATGACAATATAGTCATCACGATCATCATGCTTGAGCACAGGCGGAGGAGCGCTACCTGCACAACCTGGGCAGCGACATGGAGCGCGCCAACAAGATCCGGCTGGCGGCCGAGAGCCAGCTGCTGGAGCTGAAGCGCGAGGAGCAGCTGCAGGAGATGGAGATGCAGGCCATCAACACCACCAAGGCGGCGCTCAAGTCGCGCATGACTGCCATCGAGAAGGACATCCGACGCCAGCGCGAGGTGCTCTACAACCTGGTGGGTGCCCGTCCATTCCGATAAATAAAAACTGCTGCCCCGTTAAAAAAACAACAACTAGCATCTGCGGGTATTTTCATTCAAACGTAGCAAGTGGTCAAATTTGCGCAAAAAAGATTATTTTGTACTAAATGTATAATTCGCTAAATTTATAGACATAAGTGTTATTTTATGGAAGCTCCATGTTGAATTATTTCTTTAATAAATATATGAATAACAAAAAGAGATCAATTATATATCATATTATGCTTATTAAATTTATTGTTTCTAATTTTGTAAGGAGTCAATGCAATGAGGATATCACATCATTTGTTGTAGGTATTTTGTCAAATAATTAATTCCTAAAGATTCTAATTTATTTTATAATTAAATGTCTCATCTGCAGTATTGCTTTAACATACTTTTATGAAAATTGAGAGGGAACTGAATGATTAATCATTTGATTTGCGGCCTGTAAAATCTATGTTATTAACTATTAATTACCAAATAACAATCTCCGATGAATCATTCACAGTTTTTATAATGTTTTGATGATAGTTTTGATAACAAGCTATTGTACATTTGTACTTCCTTTATCTTTCAATTATTGTAGGATGAAACAGTAGAAGTGCACAATGCGCCAAAATTACTGCAAAACATCTTGAATAAATTAAAGCAACAATTCCCTAGTATCAATGGATCAAATTTTCCATTTTAGTACAATCAAGAAAGGTCAAAACACGTGTCGGGTGACACCAAATTATTCAAATTCGTAAAGGCCTATTTATAGAATATGAACAAAGATATATCATCAGTAGGTGACACCGGGAACGGCCGAGTTCATTAGTTCGGCTGACTGAATTTAAAAATATATAATTTATTTCTGCTAAAGAGCATTTAGTTGCCGAGGCTTCTTTTGAATTCTATTAAAAATTGAGTTAAATATATGTGAAAGTTTACCAGTTCCTCGAATTATTTGCTTTGCACTTTAATTGCTTTGCGGATAATAATGATTATTCTAATCACCAGGAAATGTTTAATTTTCGACTTAAATATCATTTAAATAGAAATGTTTAAAATAAGAGATTTATAATATTTCCGTATAATGCGGGAAAGTAATGCTTTTTCAATGTCAATGGCATTTCATTCCCAATCTGCTGATGAAATAGCACAAAAACTTGGGGATGTCGTGAATTCAAAGCATAATTTTTGGATTAGTGCACTGACGAGGCAGCGTGATTTCAAGCTCAATCTTCCGATAAAATAGTATGAAGGCATATAGATGCCATGAATTCAAAGCATAATTCTCTGAATAAGTTCCCGTCCAACCTCAAGTAAGGATCGGTTTTCGAGGATGAACGGATCTATAACTGTGCAGATGCAAGGCTGCATGCTTTCACTCTGAGTCTGCTGAATAAATAGTATAAAGAATTGAAAGTGTCATGACTTCAAACATAATAGTTATCGTACTAAACTCCCGACCATCTCATAAAACCGATCGGTTTTCCGAGGGTGAAGGGACTGGTGCAGTGGCGAGGGCGGAAGCTCTCTCGTACTATCTGCCGATAAAAGACTATAACAACCTTTAGATGCCATGTATGACGACCATTAGAAGCATAGTTTTCAGACTCAATCTTAGCCCATCCCAACATGATTCTCGGTTCTCCAAGGGTGAAGGGAATTCTGAGTGGCGCTGGGGCAAGCCTAGTTCAATCCGCCGATCAAATAGTATAAGTTGCAGGTGCCATGGCTTCAAAGCATAATTATCTGACTAAATTCTCGCAACACAACGCTTGAATCTCAGAGGGTGGAGGGACTTCTGAGTGAGGCAGGGGCAAGCCCACGTGCTCTATCGCCCAATCCGCCAACCAAATAGTATGACTTGTAGGTGCGATGGCTTCAAATCATAATTATCTGACTAAATTCTGGCCCATCCGAACACAACGCTCGGATCTCGAAGGGACTTTTGAGTGGGGCAGGGCAAACCCACGTGCTCTATCGCTCAACCCGATTAAATAGTATGACTTGTAAGTGCCATGGCTTCAAATCATAATTATCTGACTAAAGTCTCGCCCATCCCAACACAACGCTCGGATCTCCGAAGGTAACGGGACTTCTGGTACGGCGTGCTCGCATTGAGGGGGCGGGGCGGTGTTGCAGGACTTCGAGGCGCAGCGGCTGGAGGGCCGCATCCTGATGGCGTCGGGGCAGATGGACGTGGAGAACAAGGAGGAGCTGGAGTCGAAGATCCACGACGCGGAGCAGCAGCTGAAGCAGAAGCGCGAGGAGCACTCGCTGCTCACCGGCCAAGTGCGACAGCTCGAGGTATGATAACTAATCTACATCAAGGATTGCCAACCTTTGTTCCTTTCATCGATCCCTGATAACTCTCGATTACAAAGGGGACCTGTACTAAGCATTGTTACAAACGCGTCGTCTGACAGACTACTTTGGGTAAAAATTAAGAAAATCTCATTTTTACAATGAAACCCTGAATTAATGATAGAACGTGTATGATATGGAGTTACAAAATACATTTTAAAAGTTTTTGTAGATACATCTAAATGCCTTGACTTTCACATCAGATATTTGCAGTGTGCTGTCCACACATGGCTTTTGAGAAGCGTCCGCAGAAGAACATTGTCATGCGACCTTATTTATGATACCCAGCGTCTTATTACGATTGCTTATTGCTCAGTATAAAACTTAAATGCTACTGACAGGGAGTTTGTAGTCATTATTTACAATAGTAGCCAACATAGCGCCACAAATCACATCGACGAAACTACAAAAGAAAAATCTACTGGACGATGCGTGTTAAAATGGCTCATACCGGAAATAGGCACGCGCACGTTTCGTATATTTCAATGACTAGTCACAAAAAGAAGGTACACAGACTTTTAAACACGAGGAGTAAAGGTAAAAGGGTGGGGGAAGCTTTCCGCACTAGTTGTGTCGTCTGATTAAACATTCCTTTGTAATCTAGGGTTATGAGAATTGTTTGATTAGTTGACCCCCTTACCGTAGTTTTCACTGTATTAGTTTACAATATCTATAATCATAACGCAAAGAATTAAACATAAATATTTTAAAACATACAATTTCCGTACACCAATATTCTCATAAATATCTATATTTTCAGTAATTTAAGACGCTTCACTTTTCAGTAGCTAAGTTTTTAATTTTCTTTGGAGTGCAATTGTGACAACATGAGAGTTCTTTTACGAACAGTGGGTATTGCTGATATTATTTTCTTACGCGATAGAGTATCGTTGTGAATGCATAGTGAAAATTTAAAGTTTTAAAACATCAGAACTACTAAGGATGAATGACTGAAAGGACAGAAGAGGAGCGAATTTGTAATTTATTATTAGTCTATATTTAATTGCTTCCAAAAAACAATTAATTATCAAGTTCATTAATATTTTATTTGTAATTAATGGGTGTCTTCATTACACTGATCAGTCGCTGGGACATTTTTGGCTGTTGACTCACTAGTGTGGGCCACGTAATAGCCCGCATAAGACCAAAAAGTCACGTGATGTGCTGCTAGGTAGAAGGGTGTTGCCGACAAGGAGGGGAAACATCGTTGAATCACGTGATTCATCTGTATTAAAAGCGAGACCTAGAAAAATGTAGAGATATAAAGATCTTCTGCGAATGTACAATTCCAGGTCAGGTTCACTTCGGCATCTATTGCTGGCATTGTTCATTGATGACTCTCGATGTGGAATCACGTCGTCGATTCGTTGGGTTTTGTAAAATACTGTATGTATTTTCATTGTCTTTCTATAAATCGTACGTAAAATCACGTAGCTATCTTGTGACTTCTGATTTTTATCTCACAGCGCAAGAAGTGCAACAGTTTTTCCCATCTTAGAGTGTCATGTTAAATCTTAAGAGTACTATGTTCTCGCACACTTTGTCTAGAATTTGCAATCCAAACTTATTTCTTCGTACTTTTTTCGGGCGTTTCATGTCCACTGCCTCATTTCCACGATACTTCATTACAATTAATTTATCTCAACTTTTTGCATCACACAATTTTCACTGTCATAAACGATAACTCTTTGAAAGGGAGCTCGTTGAAGAGAAATAGCGAAGGACGATAAAGCAACAGATTCGTCACGATAACACGATACAAATTTTTTACTTTTTGCTATGACGTTTGATGTTTCTGTTAGTGTAGGAATGAGATTTGTGAAATTATGAGACATTATTAAAATAATGACGAAATAATGTATGGAAAGATGAAGTGAATAAAGATAAGAAATTGCACATGAAACTAGATATTTACAAAGTGAAAAGGGTACCTTGTTGAGTAATAAAAGAGAACCATTCAATGTAATCAGCATAGTGCTATTGTATTATGTTAATGAAAATATAGTTGTTATACAAACTAAAACCACATTTACTTCTGTATATATTCCGGAAATAATTCTCAAAAGTAAAGCAGAAATTTAACTAATCACATTAATATCAACTATAATTCTGCACATTTATGATAATGCAATCATGCATCAATTATAATTTTGACACATTGCATTCGATTCACATAAATTTTATCCACATGATTTTCCTTTCAATCGTGAGCCGCCACACCCAGGAAACTTCCTTTTTATATTCGTGATCTTTTACATCCAGTAAAACGCTATCTGGCAACACAATTAGTTCATTACTTGCATGAGTTTGTCTTCTCATTCGTGTCTCGGAAACTCAATGTACACTAAGAATTGTCGACTGATAGTAAGGTTGTCTGCGTTTCTCGTTTTTGTTCTTTATGTTGTTTTCATCTGTCCAAAGATCATTAAGAGAAGCGCGAGCCGTACAACGCAGGCAGAGTTTTCTATTGGCTTCGGTGGTTTCGCAGGACACGATGCGCCGCATCCAGGCCAACATGGGCATCGACGACCGCGAGATGCGCGCGCTGGAGAACCGGCGCCAGGACGGGCTGCTGCTGACGGAGGGCGGCGAGAAGCAGGTGGTGGCGACGCGGCGCCTGTTCCAGGAGAAGCAGGTGGGAAGCACGCTCCTCCCTCCTTGCTGAGACAAAAGCTAGAGAGCTCAGAGGCGAGCTATGAGACGAAGAAGAGCTAGAGACAGAGGAGCTAAGAGAGCGAGAGGGAGCTAGAGAGCGAGAGGGAGCTAGAGAGCGAGAGGGAGCTAGAGAGTGAGAGGGAGCTAGAGAGCGAGAGAGAGGTAGAGAGAGAGAGGTAGAGAGAGGGAGCTGAGAGCTAGAGAGAGGGAGCTGAGTGCTAGAGAGAGAGAGAGGTGAGTGCTAGAGAGAGAGAGGAGAGAGAGAGAGGGAGACTTAGGTCATTACATCCGTAAGTGTTGGTCAGTAAGATATTTTATACCACGACAGAGGAGGCTTTGTCCCTCTCCCGGTGATACGTGAGATTTCTAGAAGTGTTTAAAAACAATAGTTTTAACTATTATTAGTTTTCAACCTATTCATCAACAAGATTCATCAATAAATACACATATGAATATACCAATTCATATAAAATATTTTAATACTTGTTTATTTTTTCCAGTAGTACGACTTTTTGTATTGGCCGGCTGCTTTCCTTTACGGAGAGCCTGCTGCGCAGCCAGTGTCCCACTCAAGGAGATACTGGTGTCTTGAGAAGGCGATGATACGTTGTAAAGTCCACAAGATTTCCTAATTTTCTCTAGCTATAAAATGCCATCGATTTTCCAATTGCAAACGTTACAAATGTAACTATAAGTTACCGCACAAAATAAACTTTTTAATACAGCAGAAAATTCATAGTGTAGATCCGGTTAGCCGACACCTTGCCAAGGAAGTCGTGTCGTGGCGATCTCGGATCGAAGGTTCGAATCCCGCCTCGAGCATGGCTGTATTTGTGATTGTCCCTTCACCCTTCATCATCATCATCATCATCATCATCATCATTCTATCACTTTATTATGAAAGACTAATAATTCCCTGCGCCCCCGCTTAATAGGATGTGTGCAGTTGGCTAAAACAAATCATAGTAAAGAAACAAGTAGTCCGGACATTACATACCCATTGCTGAAAAAAATCTTGGCTGCGCAGCTGTACTTCGGGCGCGTAGAAATGAGACCTATGCGGTGCGCGTGCGCAGGTGGAGGAGAGCCTGCTGCGGCTGCGCCTGCGCCAGGCGGAGGAGGCGCTCAACAGGGAGGGCGACGCGCTCTACTCGCTCGACAAGCAGCGCCTCGAGCTCGACAGCGTACGTATGCGCAGCGCACGGCCACCCGAAGCGAATGGCCACCGCCTTCACGGCAAGGCTTTCCCTTGCGCAGTGGAAATGGTCCTTCCGTGCTTTTCGTCTACAACTGCGCCAGACATCCTCAGCCGCGGGTTGGAAAGGGGCGAAATATATGTCCGTAAAGTTAACATACCCACTTATCACAAAATTGAAAAACTGTATCCCGTAATTTTGTTCTAATTAAGGACCAATTTATACCCAAATTTAAGAATTTTCTACTGAAGCACAACATCGAAATATTCAACACTAAATGTGGGTACGCTAACTTAACGTTAAGTTAGCATACCCACACAAGAAAAACGAATGAAACATGAAAACTAAATGTACCAGAAGTTTGTTCTAATTAAGGACTAATTGATACCTAAATTCGAAAATTTTGAAACGATGCGCAACATCGAATATTCAACACTAAAGGTTTTTTGAAGGGGTTTTCAAAATAAACTATTACAACTTGCAGCAATGTTACGTAATAATGAATGGAATATATTTAAAAAAATGGCTTGAAATTTCCGATTTTGGGTATTGGGGATTTGGGTATTTAAGTTAGCGTACCCACATTTAGTGTTGAATATTTCGATGTTGTGCATGAGTAGAAAATTTTAAATTTGGGTACAAATTAGTCCTTAATTAGAACAAAATTCTGGGATACAGGTTTTCAATTTTGTAATAAGTGGGTATGCTAACTCTACGGACATGCGAAATATCCTTTTGTTGGCTCGCGGGTTACTTAAGTAGTACCTTCATGATCAGATGGAAGTTTGATCGGTAAACCCGTTATTTTATTATAAATTTCATTATCAGTCTCTGCAATTATTAAATTTAGTGTGAATTAATATAATAGCGCCCTTAATATCTGACATTTTATTGAAATCACTGAACATGGAAACAGCTTTCAAACATTTGTTTGAAACAACACTTATCCAACACTTGTGTTTGTGACACGTATCCAACAATTCTTGTTGGATAAGTGCATTGTATCCAATTATGGTTTTTGCTTTCGCTTGCGTCGCGCGAGGACACGGTGGGAGTTTCTGCCTTCGCTGGTGCCGCAGCTGATGCGCGAGCGCAAGGTGGAGATCGCGCTGCACTCGGACATGATGACGACGAAGAAGCGCTGCGTGGCGGAGGAGAGCGCGCGCCTCAACCTCGAGGTGAACCACCGCCGCCTGCGCACCGACCAGCTGCGCAACAAGTTCGCCATCGCGCAGACGGCGCTGGGCCACGACGACGACGGCCAGCTGCAGGACGTGGCCACAGTGCGCGTGCAGGTGCGGATCAACCCCCTCCCCCTCAGCTTTCATTCCAAGAACTCAATGACGCAACCAAGAATCAGTGTGTGAGTGAAAGAAAGAATTAATTAATGAAAGTTGTAAGAATGAATTAATGAAAGTCGTCAAAATAAACGAACGAATGAATGAATGCCGTGTGAATGCCCCTGTGAATGAACAAAGGCGTGAGAGATATCTGAATGAAACATTTGTGTATGAGTAAATAAATTAGACAAGTTAGACACAAGTTAGACATAAATTAAACCTGTGTGTGTGTGAGTGAAAGTGAGTGACAGTGACAGTGACAGTGATTGCGAGAGTGTGCGAGAGTGAATGATTGACATAAACAAAAATGAATAAAAGACGAGTGAATAAATGGTTGAATGAATGAGTTGGCAAGAATTAATGATGTTTTCATGACTAACCGGACAGATTTTCCTCAAGTATCTGTAAACTTACTGAAACTATGAAAAACTATTTTTATTCATAAAAATATACGCAATACAGATTTTTTATGTGTTTTTAAATCAGAAGCATGGAAGGGAAAACCATACTTGGACTGAAATAAGGTTTTTAGGATACTATGTTATAAAGTTGGCTCAAACTCGGTTTCGAAGCAATTTTAAGTTAATTTTCGATACTTTTAAGACTAATATCTATAGACTAATAATAATAATAATAATAATAATAATAATAATAAAAAATAATAATAATAATAATAATAAAATAATAATAGATAATAAGTAATAATAATAATAATAATAATAATATAATAATAATAATAATATAATAATAATAATATAATAATAAATAATAATAATAATAATCATAATAATAATAATATAATAATAATATGCTTTATTTAATATGCGAGCTTAGACTAATAAGACTCGATACGTTAAACACTAATATTTTAATATTCCAGAAGTCATGAACCGATTCTCTGAAGTTAAACAGTAAGTTTTATATTGTCCGTTGAATTATTCAATATTTTTTCTGCATAAATATCCTAAAAATCGTCATAAAATACTAGAAATTATTTTTCCATAAATCATTATCATTGATATTCAAGTATTTGGGCTTTAAATTGAGGGGCGTGTGCACGCTAATACATAAAAAAATCTAGGGAAACAATTTTTTTAATTTTAAAAGTTAATTTTTTAAGTTGATACTTCATTTTTTTCGTTTTCACGTTTTCAAGACAACTAGATATTTAATTATCAGAATTGTATGCCGCCTGTACTAATATAATATTAAAGTTTATATATTCAGGCAGTAACTTAACTTATAATTGGTTATATTGTAAATAATTACTATAGGTAGCACTACACGTTTCATTTCTAAAACAATGATCCACAAAACATGGAGCTACACCACGAGTTAGAGGAAGTAATTTACTAAATATAGCTATATGATTTTACCACATTTTCTTCGCCAGATTTAATCACCAGACCCCGACAGTAAGAGAATTTCTGCCAAAAATTCGCCGTTTTAGGCGCACGATTACATAAATTTGTTTTCTTAGAAAGTACCTTCATAAGGGCGAAAAAGTAAAATTTGAAATTCAAGTTCGGGAGCGCCAATGAGATGATACCAATGTTTTTACTTTCACGCGCTTAAAAAAGAACTAAAAATAATGGAAAGTGATGTAATGCTGTGCGAAAAAACGGCGAATTTTCGGCAGAAAAGCTCTTATTACAGAGCCCTGATAATGAAGAACTTTCTGATAATGAAACCGTATTTTATATTTAAAAAACAGTTTTAAAACCTCGTATTCATATTGGCATTGCAATAAAATAACTTTAAATGATTATTTGAAGGAGGAGGAAGGCAAACGAGAATGAGTTTACTTATTCAAATGCCTCTGATAGTTTTAAATGTATTTTGAACTTCCAATGGGGGGTTATCCATTCAGTGGGACAAACATTGACGTACATAATATATTGTCAACTTACCACTCGTACCTCCATTAACTACTTTAAAGTGTTATAATGTCCATGAAAGATTAACGAATACCTACATGTGCGTCAAAAAATTGAAGTGCCTGAAAAGATATTGGAAAGTGGGGAAACGTTTGCACCGCTTAGAGTTAAAAGGCCACTCTTTCCACATTATCTAAAGGTTCTATTATCTAAAGAAAAATATTTAATAATATATTTATTCCTTATCAAGTTATTAATATTATTTTTAAATATGTAACAGGTCTAAAATTGTTAAAGAAAGGGTTTCATAGGATAAGGGTTAAAGGCACCAGGAATTTCTCCTAACTTATTTTCAATCCATTATATTTCTTCTTGAAATCATATTTAACAAGATTCTTGCTACTCTGAAGTGTGTTCCGTAACATATGCTTAGCGAGTCAGAACATGCTACAAGAACAACAACAATAACAACAAACCTACAACAAATATGATCACTGTTCTTATTTGCAATATTTACACAATATCCCGACCATTAGATAAGCTCAAATGTTCAATGTTAATTGAATGCGCACAGAACAGAACAGAAATCTTATCGGAAAGTAACTGTTACAATAGCCTTCAAAGTAACAACGAGACTGAAAAATTCTTACCAGTTTTCAAGTAGAAGAGCGGATGCCACATACCTCTTGATCTTGTTAATCTTAAATTCTGTCGAGCGCTTGCTAAGCCTCCTCAGAGGAGAAACTCGCTCATTCTGGTATGGTGGATGCCAAGAACCCAACAGTCTAAGCACTTGAAGTATTTGAACACCGTCCTGCCCCATATATGTACAGGCTGTCGACACAACACACATACGTCTTTTATGAATCTCAAGATAATGACACTCAAGACGGCAGCTCGATTCCACGAAATGTTACTACTTCCGAGCACTCGCGAAAAAGTTTACTGGAGTACAACACTAATGAAGAAACCTGTGTCAAAAGCTGACTACGAGCTCACGCGATTAACATTGTCATCGGCTATTGCCCCCAATATGAGTGTGTTTGATATTACTCCAAACTACAATATATGAAGGTGCAGTCCATAAATGAAGCACAGACTCTACGGAGAAGCTAGCGAAATACCAATAGCGAATGTTCATTTACACTCACCAACAGCGAGGTAAACATACATAGAAGAAACAGAGAAACCTGATAAGATTCGGCAAGTGATCATACTGTCACGTGAAGCAAAGTTCCGCAGGAATTTTGCAGCTCTTCGTCAAAGAGCTTACATAATCGCGGGAATTCAAACTCGAGACATTTAAACCATTTCAATTTTTTTAAATTCTTGGGGCTTCTTTCAGCTTCAGGAGATGTCGATTTTGACTCTCCGCGTCGGATACCCACTATGTCCTTCAAGGGGATACAAATTAACCTTTACACTAGGCGCACTTGCGGGATCCTCGGTCTGTGGTCAGCAGACTCACAAGGCCTTCCGCGACAACACACATACATGAAAGACAACGGACAAACAACCGTGACCACGGTGGGACTCGAACCCGCGGCTCTTCTGACCGAGGCGCTGAGTCGTCACACAGTCTAGCCACCTCGACCATCCCAAACCTGTTCGTAATTCATCTATATAATTAAAATATGAGTGCATGTGTCATTTCAAAATTATTGCCTTTTACAATCTCATTTGCTTCCTTGTATGATGTGAAAACCATATCAATTCCTATTATTTTTTGTTTATTTGCCTGCATAATTTGCGGTGCGGCTAAATCGATTTCGACGTGGTTTTCATTGAAAGATGGAGTGTTTTGCGGGTATAAAGTATGCTAATTTTTTTCAAATCATAATTTTCTTGTACATAAAGAGTAATGCTTGATTGTTTTTTCATACACATCTACAGTTTTATTACGATTTTAATGAAATTTTGTACACAATACTGTTTGCATGACATTTCATAAAGCTTCCCTACACCCTTTCCTATCTCCTAAAAGTACTTTTAAATGTGCACTCTTCTGGTTTTTTGCGTACTAGGTGAAAACTTTGAAGAAATTTACTACCGTTCATAAGATAATTTTTTAATGATCATGCGTTTTTACTCATTCATCCAACACAATTACGCTTCCAGGAAATTCAAGATCAAAATCATTACTGGAAGTTTGTCAGGAGAATAAAACAATGCATCTGATTACAGCTACCCACAGCAAATATTGTGTTAACAACAATAATCATAGCAAAAACGTCGTGTTGGAGAGAGACAAAGTAAAATAAAGCGGGGTGTGGGTGAGCAGGGAGAGATAAGGCAGGGCGGATGAGACGGGGGAGATACGCAGCAGTTCAGACCCAGCTAATGGAAGAAGAGTACACAACTTATGAAAATCAGTCCTTTTCTCACTCTAATAAAGGTCCTAGAGTCTGCATCATCTACAAAAGAATACGAGTAAAATGTAACTATTTTACAATTTTAATATTGTCCATTTATAATCTATTTAAAATATTTTATAACATTCTATTGGATGTACATCTTTCCGGAAAGTTTATTTCACATTATCAGATCTGTAGTTCTGATCAAAAGTTCAAATTTTCAATTGGCAACTGAATTGCTTTCAACAAAGTCATAAAAATTTTAGATATAAAAATAATATTACAGAGATACTCGTAATTAATATTGTAATAGTATAAATGGTAGAAATACCTGGAAATAACATTAGAGAAATTACTAATACGATATATTTAATTCTGCCGGTAATGAGAGGACTTCCACATGATCAATTTCCGTCAGCAATAAACAAAATTGAAACACGTGATGATGGTCATGACCTGCCTCAGCCTTCTCGCTTGTAACTTAAATGAATCAAGCTACTTCTTCATTTCCAGCTGGCGCAAGAAAAGTACTTGCTGCAACTGAAGGGCGACGAGTTGGACGCTGAGATTCGGAAAGCCGAGAAGGAAATCCAAGCGCTGGAAAACACCTTGAAAGTGCTCAACGCTACCAACGACGCCTACAAGAAGAACCTGAGCGCAGTGGAGGAGGAAGGTGATGTCCTTTAAGCCCTCCCTGTTACCTCGCTTCAAAATCTTCTGTTAAAAATATACAATAAAAATACTCATTCAAAAGCAATAACTGTGTAAAGTGCCTACTTATAAGCCTTTAATAGAAACATTTAGCATTCATTCTGTTTTCGTTAATTATTGGCATTTGAAGGAATGAGGAGGAATCTAAAATATTAAGATGATATGCTGATAGTACTACATTTCTGCATCACAATTTGTATCTTTGTAGAGTTTCCTTAAACACTATAATGACACTAGACAAGCAATGCATGATAACAGTATCTCTTATCCCTAACTTTTTATTTGAAATATTTGCTAACTATTCAAAATATATCAGATTATTTTACATCTATTCAAAAAGGCGAGAAAATAAACAAAACAACTCAAATTACTCAAGTACCAAAACTATTATTTCTCGAAATGTTGAAAAATGTCTGTATCGCCGATATTCACAATATAATGTACGAAAAATTATTTACTACAATATATATTTTATTTTGCTACACTTTTATTTTATTATTATTATTATTATTGTTTACTTCAGAGATCTAAAGATGTCTCCAAAATATACCATTTTAAATTTTGTGAATAATTATGAAAAGAACCTTTAACCTTAATAAAAAATCTCAAGGGAGAAATGGTATCACCCCAACTGAATTTTATAACATTTAACTTTTCCACTTTCTAAGAAAACGTGACTTTATGGACTTACAAATAAATTCAGATTTCAAAATTCTTTGAGACAGTGTATGGTCAGATTTTAAATATACCTCATTATGTGTATTTCTGAAAATAATAATAATTTAATATTGACACTGGAGTGAAGTGAACTTAGATACAATAGAGAAACATTAGACGAAACCTCTGGTTTAAACATATTGCTAGTTATTGCCATCGGCTAATCAAATGAAAACAATTTGAAAACTATTGCGCTCAATGCAATCATTGGAATGATTAGTAATAACGTGGAGACTAACACCTTTACTTAAAAAAAATAATTAATTGGTGCCCTCTTTCTTGAACGAGGCAAATTATTTTTGAAACTTAAAGAATATAAAGAATAGTTTCCGTTTCCTTTTTTCTTAATTCTCTTTTGAAAGAACCGGAGATAGTTGTCATGTTTTTTAGTGTAGATTGTGGTTAAAATCCTTATTCTTATTATTTATTATTTTCCGTTTCCTTTTCTCTTCTTAATTTACTCGTTTCAGACAAGTATATTCGCTATGAAGTATTGAGCATGATATCCTACATCTTCTTCTCCCGCGCTGCTATTTTTAAAAGCTATTTCTCTTTGTTTCTCTGTAGGCTACTTTTCTTTTGTTTGTCCTCTCCCTCTCTTGCGTACTCCATAGATAATCGATAATCCAATTACTTCTTCTATTGGTAAAAGTGTTACGCAGAAATGCGTATACAAAGTATCATACATTTTTTGATCTCTAATCAGTAGTAATTATCAATCTACAACATAATTTTCCTTAGCACTTCTTTTTTGATGATTGATGTTTACGGTCACGTCAACTGCTAAGGTCGTGAATGCCGTCAGTGTAGTGAATGTTTTGTCGCGGGAAATGGTGGTGTTCCTCCTACGCTGATTGATGACCTACACACAAGCTCGGGGACTTCCCCTTGCAGATATCTCCCCAGCGAGACTCTCAGAAGATCGAAGAATCCGACAATTCTCCCGATGTGTGTGGTAGTGTCGTGCATGTGTGTATAACGGAAGATAAAAGGACAAGGAAAAGGAAGGCATGATCGCGCGCAGTCCGTGGCCCGTTTGTTAGGGTATTGCTCCTGCGTTCGCCAGGTGTTGATCGAAGAAAACACGGAAAAACTACCGATCAGAGCAGCCGGTCGATAAACGTCTTTATCAGACAGTGGACGAACGTCCTGTTTCTCTTTCTCATCATCGTGTGTGCTCTCTCCTCACTACGCCCTCTTCTAGCGACTTTGATATCCTGCAACTCGTCTTCCATTTGCGATTATATTTTGGAGATATTCGTGTTTTCAAATTGCAATTAAAATATGAAATAATATTTTATTTTAAGTGAGCAGTGCGCTAGGTTTCTATTCTGAACATTAGGATTCAAAACCGATCACTAGTGAAGTGGTATGAAAAAGACGAAGCGGCTTTGCTTCAGGCAGCTCTCTCTCATTCCTTCATGTGCCCCCAGTTCATGCTCATAACTCCACACGTTATCTGACATAAGGACATGCCGAAGATGCCACGACGCTCTGGTCGAGGTCACGGAAAAGCCGCGGAACGATGTCGCCTCTTTAAAAAAAAAAAACTATAGATTTCCATGCCGCCGTGCAAGCTAGGGAGCTCGCACACTGGCTCGCACACATTTATATCTATCATGTTGCATATTGTCAATTGAAAATGCTGCTTGTGGTGTGCAAATAGACCTCCACCACAATTCGGGGCTAACGAGGTGTTATTCAACGCGATTGGGACTAACGACGAGGAAATGTCCAGGTCGTTTGGATCCTATCAGAACTTTCTAAGACGATTATCGAAAAAAAAAGTTTTTGGAGAGGCTGTATTCCATTGAGATACATTCGTGGCTTTAGGTTATTACAGAAGAGATTAGCTTATTTGATTGCTCCCGATCGTTCGACTCAATTAACATTAGGAAGTTTTTACACGGCGACGCGTTACAACAATCGACAGCACTATCGATTTTCTGAGCATGTGCAGTTCAAGTTTCACATCATTTTTGTGCATGTGCGCATGCGCAGACGATCTTGACTAGTCGATCGCTGAGCGCTTTACCGGACAAAAACTCCATACAATTGTTAGACGGATCCTCTAGATTATTCTGGAAGAGTTGTAGAAAACAGCGCATTTTGGAGGGTTTCAAGGTACCTACAGCAATGAACACTGTGAAATAATAAACTGGCTTTCCTAGTCCTTACGACTTGATTCATCTGAATGATGATAATGAAACCTGATTTAGGAATGAACTATAAACATGTTTCAGAGATATTTCTCTTTAAAATTTATGTGCTCGAAGATAAACGAGTTAGGTAAATGTATTATGTTGAAAATTTATTTTTAGTAGGGATCATCCGTAAATTACGTAATGCGAAAGAGGGGGAAGGGTTCGAGGCTGTGTTATGCTGCGTTACATTCGGATGGGAAAATCATAGTTCATAATGCGTAATCCTGGTAATTTTAAAAAATTTTCAACATATGCTGAAATAATGTTTTTATTCAGCAATATACAAAAATTAAAATTTTAACAAATTGAATTTCAAAAATATAAATAAAAATGATTGACGTAAAAATTGTTGCTATAAATGTTAATATATTTTCATCATTTGCATATTCAATGAATGTATTAGATTACGAAGTATCCAAAACGGATCTATAATATATTATAGAATCTAATTAAATTGGCACAGTACACTCGAAACCCTAAAGACCTTGTTTAGGAATACTATTATATAAAATTATTTAAAAGTGAGAATATGTATGTTTGTCACAAAAACTTAAGAACCAATGCAGGGTTTGCTCCCATATTTAACAAGAATATATGAGCAGCGAAAAATAAAACTTCCTTAGTTGAAATTCAAAATGTTACAGCAAAAAGCGTTTTAAAAATACATTTAGTGAAATGTAGTCCTCGTGCATCTGGGTGGCATTGTGGCCTGGCATTGCCTGGCAAAGCGGAGGTCAGAGCGGGACAGTGGGTGCGAGCAAAGCCGGGGAGGGCGAGCGAAAGAGCAGGTGGAGAAAGGAATGAGTGGAGCAGAATGAGCGGAAATAGTGAGCGGAGCGAAAGAAGCGAAAGGAAGAAGAGGAGCGGGCAGAGTGGAAAGAGGGAGCGGACGAAAAAACGAACCGAGAAGAATGAATGGAAATAATCGGCGGGAGCACACGAGCCGGAGGATCATGGCGAGCGGAGGGCGCTAGATGGCGGGACTGGAAATGCGGCCGCGATAGCACTGGAAAGACGGACAGGGCGTGCGGGGCGTATGAGACGGCTTATTTTTTTTCTTCCCAGGGCTCTTTCCGACTTTAGGGGATGCCGATTTCGGCTATCCGCGCTGGATACTCATTATGTCCCTCAAAGAAGCACATATTAACCTTTTACACTAGATACACTTGCGGGCTCCTCGGCTTGTGGTCAGCAGACTCAAGGCTCAACCGCAATATGACCCATATATAATACACAAAAGACGAACACCCATGCCTACAGCGGGACTCGAGCCCGCGATTCTTCTGGCTGAGGCGCTGATATGTCACTCACTCTAGCTATCTCGGACTTCTAGGTCGGCTACGAGGAGGCTCAATGTTTATGCTAAATACTCAGGCAATGCTGGGTAATCAGCTGTCACATTTTTTTGTAATATGAATACGCCCGCCGGTGGTGTCAGACCACGTTAGCATTTTGATTCTTCATCTCTCGAGTGAGATAGATATTGCGTGGCGGCTTTAATCTTTCCGCAATGCATCAATCACTACAAAATCTACACCAAAAAGTCAACCTTGTTTCAAATAAGCATTCTTGGCGATAGGTTTATTTCGGCACCTTTTTTTCTTATGAGGCACTTTCCGAGTTTCTCGTTAGATTTCGTTCACTCTTTTTAACTCAACTGCATGTCCCACAGGAAGAACCCCACAACAGTTACCGTTGAGATACTGTTCTAATAATGCAGCTATTGAGTTTTCTCACAAATTTTAAGCCATACTAATAACAAACATTAAATATTTTATTTATATATCCGTTCTTTTCCTCCTCTCTTCATGTGCATTCTCTTCTCTATTGAACTCGTCTTATTTACGTTTCCGTCTCACCGGATGAGCCATTGATGTCAGTGCAATGCCTCCAACCCGGAAGTCTTAGGGTTTGAGCCCCGTCGGTGACAGGATTTTCGACTCTGGCTAGATAGCTAGGTCGAATTCAGCTGCCATATAGAGGACAATTCTAGCAGCCAGCTGCTCTGGTCGGTAGTATTCCGTGATTTATCCAATCAACACTACGCGAATGCTGGGTGGTACACTAACAAACAGGCCACGGTCCGCGCGCAATCTGTTTTTTTCTTCCTTGTCCTATCCACACCCATATACCTTGTTTTAGCCACTCTCACACTGACAATTTCGTACTCGTACTTCACTACCGCTCATGTAGGGAGACCCACCAGGATCTTAGAGGTTGTCCCGTTTATGCTTATTACATCTGGTTGAGGAAACTCCTCAAGCCGACGTGTAGATCGACGCCGGATCTCGCCATCCAGCGGGGAAAGAACACCACCACATCCCTTGATAAGACATGAAGTGCACTTACGAGACTAATGATCAGAGTTAATGACCATATAAAATAGCCACCCGAAAACACGAAAATAATCAGTCAACCAATACACCTTGGTTTGTTCTTTTCTGCTTCTTCCCTTCGGCTTCTTCCTTTCTTGCACCCTCCACGCACCGTTGTCCTTCCTGCTCGGGCCCGCCGCCCACCGCGTCGCCCGCTGACTTGCGTGCTGCCCGCAGCCCCCGAGTACCAGGAGAAGAAGGAGCTGGAGAACGAGGTGTCGATAGTGCTGGAGGAGATGCGGCACTCGCGCTCCGTCATCAAGGACGAGGACGTCGAGCTGAAGGTGAGCCACAGCGCGAATTACGGGCCAATGTTCTGACCAGCAATGGCGGGTACTCTTTTAAGGGCTCCAGGGTGGCAATCTATTCCGAAAAATCAGCCGCAAGGGAAGTTGCAGAACGTACAAATCTTGCACTACGTCGACTCGTTTAATTGGTGCGTATGACGAACGCACGTTTTGAGGTCGAATTTAATGTCATGTTTACGTGTAAGGAATGTTTTTAAAATGGGCTACATTGCGGACTCTCGCATCGTCGTCCGTAGCTTGTTCACGCGAGGCAATAGATGTAGTAGTACCTCCTAGCAGTGAATATTAATAATTGTCTCTGACACCCAATTCCACGCAGCTGGAATAGTTTCTTTAGATTTACAATGCAAAATAACACTTAGCATTCCACACTCTCAGCCAATTTCTATTCGTGATAAGTTTGATGATGGGAGGATTAGCATGGCGCTTAGCCAAACTCGTGGACCATTTCGAAAAGTAGAGCTTCTGCTTTAAGGACATTGTTAATGTGCACTGAGCTGTCAATATGTTCGAGACTAACGGTGATCTGATGTCATATGAAATCGTGCCTCATACTAGCAAGCTTTCGAAATGTGTGATACGAGACAAAAACAGTTCGTCTTATTGCTTCTAAGTTTGCAAAAACCGCTCACGAAGCTTCTACGTACAGACACTGGTTGCCGTCAACAAGGCATACGGGGGATTTATCACTAAATGGAAACATATTATCGAACATAATTAAACGCGCACATCCACAATGGGATAACGTAAATTTCTTTTTAATAATACATTGTCAATAGAATCCGTGAACAATGTTTCGACCGCAAATTCGGAGTCTTCTTCAGCTTACAAAAGATTGAGATTAGAAATATGCATCCAAGAGAAAGTACAAATACCTCAATATAAATTGATTATTTCATTCACTTAACCACTAGCAAACCACCAGTCAGTGTTCATACTCAGAAAATAGCACGCGTGAACATCTATAGTATTTCGTTTTGAGATATAGTGTGACATTTCCTCTTAATTCAGAACAAATGTAGTGATTTTCATCCATTAATCGTGGCTCTAGCATTTCAAAAGTTCAATGGAAATACAGATTAATGTTCAAAAATTAAATCTAAAGTATCAGATCTCTGAAAACGTTCCTGGATATTTTTGGAAAAAACTAGTAGTTGAAGAAAGGAAGGAGAAGATTAAAAGAATGGAGCAAGTATTATTTTCGTTGAATTCATAATAATTTTTGAAATCTGAAAAAGTTATAAATAATTTGAAAAAGTATGTGCTGTTTTGCATCGCTAGTTTCCGCCGGCGTCAAAGACACGAAACTATCTCAAGGCGGCTCCACAAGCACAAAACGTTCGTCGCCCGGCAAATAGCAAGCGACTCATCCTAACTTCGCGGGATTCAGCTAGCGGTCGCTTGCTACTCGCCGAATACAGAATGTTGGGAGCCGCCTTCATGCAGACGAGACCGTCCCCTCCCCCCGGCCTCTCTCAGAGCGGAGGACCCCGTCCTTCTCAGCGGGCTGCTACCCCTCGGACGAATAAATCAACGCAGCTGCCAAGCAGCCTAGCCTGCAGAGGGCGACTGATCTGACTCCGGATCTGCCCGCAATCGGTATAATCAGTAGACATTGCCAGCCAGCGACAGCCTGCCAGGCTCCGACTGCTGCCCGGAAGATCACAGAACTGGAAGCGTTCATCAGATATCCCTTTCACCCCCTCCTGTCGCAGCGATAACGGCCTTCTTACTGGCAGAGACGAAAGTCACCACTTCAGAATGAAACGTCTACGATTTGCAATACCTGCGTCTGACCTTAAATATATGTAAATTAAACTCAGACATTAATTAACGTCCATGCAATTAGATGCCGTATGGTACATTAACCATAAATAACTACAGGATAAATGTTACAAACTTCTATGACATGTAACGTGGGGGAGACGTCAATAATGTAATGACAATAAACATGTGGTGGGAAATATTATAGAACGAAGTTATACCTGTGAGACTTTTCACTAAATGGTAGGCAAAGTATACTTGCCAAACACTTGTTAAAGATGGACAAATCTGGAGAAAACGGAACCGATGGAACTTCCGTTTAAGAAATTTCCTTGTGTATGTTCACGTCAAAAAGTTATAATCTTCAACCTGCCATAGAAGACACGTCGGCATGTCGTAGAAATTTGTAACATTTATTATGACACATCTTGCATTTGGCATAAACAAGCCTTGTGTGTTGTGTGTGCGCGCGATGGGCAGGCGATGGAGGGGATGCACGCGGAGGTGATGGAGGAGGAAGCGGAGGCGCGCGCGCAGCTGGATGAGAAGCAGCGCGAGGTGGCGGAGCTGGAGAAGGAGCTGGACGAGCAGGACGTGAAGATCGAGCGCGCCCTCAAGCAGGTGCGCGCGCTCACCAAGGAGCTGCGCGGCCGACGCAAGACGACCGACACCTCCCTCGAGGAGGTAAGCCACACACGCACGCAAACACACTCACACGCAGACACACACACACACACATATGCAGACACACAACGCAGACACACACGTACGTAGACACACACCTACGCAGACACACTCACGCAGTCACACACACATACAGACACACACGCACACACACACACACACGCACGCACAGACACACACACGCACACACACACACACTCAGTCAGACACGCGCGCGCAGACACACACGCACGCTCGCACGCAAACACACACGCACGCACGCAAACACACACACACGCGCACGCAAACACACATACGCAGACACACATATACGCGACTGGCTGGTTTACCATTCCACTATACTCCGATTTACACAGAGGGGCTCTTCAATGTCATGAGGAGAAGGGGACAGAAACATCCAATCAGGAGGTTCAGTACCAAAAAAAGTCGAAACTAATCTTTCGATTGGATGACAATGTCTCTCACTCTCTCCGACCAAATCGTGACCATGAAGTGCCAATCTGTTTAATTCGGAGTATATTGGTACTAGATTTTGTGATGGATGTTGCAGAAATGAATAATTATTATTGTTATTGTATTATTACTATTATTATTATTATTATTTATGCTGACTTTTATCGTTGTTATTTGCCCGTTCCCACTACAGCAGTGTACTAAACGGAAAGTGACTGTTGAAAGTGGTTCTATCCCATTCCCCAAGTTGACTTAATTCTGTTCGCGAGACATTGGGAAACCTCCTAAGATCAAGACCTACTACTTTAGTAGTTTAGAAGAGAAATACTACTTTCCGTGCGTAGTTCAGTACTAGTTGAGGTAATTAATTTTCTTCAAGATTTCATTTGAAAATTTGCACATTTCAGCCGATATAACAGGAGTTATGTTGTTCTGCAGTTTTCATAGTTATTTTGTTTGTAAAGTAAGTTCTTCAACATTTATTTTTTCTCGGTCTCTGTTTTGTAGTCAATGTGTCAAGGTTAAACAAGAGAGTATGTGTCAATAACTATGTATGGTCAACTAAAATTTCACTGTTTTTCTATTATTACAAGTCTTTCACTATAAAATGTACGTATTCTCTCTTTCCGTCGCACGCGGAGTATAAATGTTTTTCTATAAATATACTTTTATTTGTAATATGGGACCTTCCAAGATCTAATATTCCCGCCCAGTTCCAATTGCTGCTGAAGTATCTTGGCCAATACACTGTGACTTCAGAAGAATTTGCAAACGGCAATCCAGTGTAGCTGAGCATTTATATTTTTCAATTGTTTCTCCGCTATTGGTGCATTTTTCTACTCTTGTGTATCACAATAAATGCTCTTCATAATTCGCGGTCTATTTTTAATACAGTTTCTAGTCTATTTTTAATTGCCATTATAAATAGCTCTGTTTCTGTTTAGATACCATCTGATATATGCATATCTGATCATTGCAGGGACGATTATTATGACATTCACGGATAGCTTTAGGAATTTTGCCGGTGTAGGGATTTGGGTTCAATAATAATTTACGTAAATTTCACTCTAAATTTTGCAGAGCTTTATTCATTTCAAGATTGTTCATGGCATTTATTCAAGATCTAACATTGAAGAATTTTGAAATTTGTTTGGAAAACTTCAATAATAAAAAAATACTGTAACAATGTTTGCTGATGATAAAAATATCAACATTAACACATTTACAAGCCGGAATGATGTAATCGAAACATGCATTAACTATGAGATAGATTTACGGGTACTAATGTGTTTTTAACGTTTTAAGAGGAATGAAAAGTAGTGTAGATGATACGGAACAGGAACTGACACAACTTGTCACTTAAGACTTTATCTCTATGATAGGAAAATACATGTATTCAATGTTCAATAGAATATTTAATTGAAGACATTTGAAATTGTTTTCACTATATTTCAATTTAAATGTAAACGTTATAAGCATTCATGTTACTTTAAACATCCCATGATGCGTTTGTTTTATATTTACAAAAATAAATATTTACCCATTCATGTTATGTTTAGGCACGCTACTCAAAACCCGTTCCAGCTCGTTATATTGATCAAATGTTTTTAATATTTATCTTTACGCTCAGAATGAGCTCAGTAAAAACTTCCTTCCACTTTTATTAACACATTAAATAATTTAAATGTTGTAACCAATTTTAAATATTTTTTTCATTTTGTTGGCCCCCACTGCCGATTTTAATACTTATCTTTTGCTGAATGAATTTAACGGGCTGTCCGATACGAATTAATAACATTTTGTACTTTATTTCTAAGATTGGGATGCGAGATTGGATTTCACTTGAAAAACTAAAGCTATTCATTAATAATATAACCAATATTTGTTGGAATTAGACAATTTAATTTTACAAGCCAGTAATGCATAATATTCCATGTATATATGCAATATGCAAAATGTAAATGACATAGTATATCATCTTTCCAACAAAAATGTTAGTATGTCGCACTCTATTGTTGGTCATTTAAATACTTAATGGATATACGGATATGGACGTATATATGGATGTACCCTTAACATAATTTTCGTGATTTTTTTATTAATTAAAAAGTTTAAATTTAAGAGCTTTCGTTCCTAAATTAATGTTTGATTATTTTTTTTAAATATACGTCTTTCAAAAATTCCCATAAGTTAATACTAATATTTCCTCAAACCAAATGTATCGTTTGTTGGTGTGGGTCTCACTGGATAATGACAATCAAACTGCGTTGATGGTTCCGAGGTATTGACGACGAATAATTCAGAAGTTTTCTAGGAGATTTTTTCTTCCTTAATGTGCACTTGCGATAATTTTGAATTGTGCAATATAGTTCATGAGAAACTTATTGATAACATTTACTACTGATTCTGTAACTTTTCCATCAAGTCTAACTCAATGAAAGGTATTTAAGCGACGTATAAAGTAATAATTATTTACAATTCAATTAATACTTCCAATTTCCATGGTGATGTTTCAAGTGAACATCCTTTTCACGGACTCCGAGTACCAAGTTCTCTAAAACGTGCTATGAAATCATGAAGTACACGTCAATTTGTTCTCATGTGTCCATGTCGGAGGCTACGTTTGTTTTAACTATACAATATGCATCAATTCACCTCCTTGTTTCTTTTGTTCTGTGAATAATTCTAACCAAATTTATTATTGGTCATCTACAGTATCTGACAGTCATTTTTCCAGTTCATGTTACGTACACGATTACTAATCTCTGACAGGTTTGTCTTCCACGGTTCTTCTCGAATATACCATTTGCACAATATGTGAATTCGGACTTTTCAGTAAAACTATTTCCAATTGATAGTTAAAATCTGGAATGTCACAAATATGTTATTTATATCTGGATCAAAAACAAGCCCAGAAATGTCAATATATTAGTATTAGTGTCTGTTTGACTATGACTTCCACCATATTGTTATTTTGCAATTGAAAATATATAAATTCCAACTTTT